TGAAGCCAGTTCTCTCTCTCCTCTGGGCAGCCTGTTGTGGACATGAAGTTAGAATTGCTGGAGACATTCAACCACCAAAAGAGAATCTAGGGGAGGAGGAAACTCAATCACAGATGGCAGACTGGAGAGAAAATGGGTTCTTGACATCATTGAACTGATAAATCAAACCCTGCTCTACTTAGGTAAGCTAATAAACAATTTTCTTTTGTATGAGCCAGTCTAAACTGGCTTTCTCTTCCTTGCATAGGAAGAGCCATAACCAATATAATAGCCTGGGCAACTATCACAGAGCATGATCAAGGGCCTCTAATCTGGCTGCCGGCCTTACCACAAGCCCAGCCCCTAAAGGGCAGTGGGCAAAGGAGCCCAGGGAGGCACAGCTGCCCAGTGCTTACTACCCCATGTCCTCAAGCTTGTTGCCTAACAAAGGCCAGAGTGCAGCCTGGAAACCCCGTCTCCAGCTGGGCCAAGCCTTGCCCGTGAGATGGCAGTGGTAGCAGAGAGAAGAGACCCAAGGGGAAGATGCCGAGAACCTCAGTGGCACAGACAGGGTGGAGAGCCTGCGGGGTGGGCCCTGGGGCCCTTCTCCCCCTCCTGGCTTGGTTCTGCCACACCATCCCTGACCGGGCTTCCTGGTGGGCCCTCTGTGGGGCATCCTCGCCCCAGAGGGGTGGCTGCCTTCCTGACAGGGGTCAGAAAAGGAGAGATTTGTATGGCAGGCAAGGATGTGTAAAAGCTCCAGATCCCAACAGGGAAGCAGGAGCCAGGAGTCAGGTCAGTCCTGCCCTGGGATTTCTCCCAGCAGCTAAGATTGTACGGAGGAGCTCGGGGACCCATCTGTGGAAGGGCCGGAAGTTATTAAGTAATTAGCGAAGCAGGGGGGAGTCAACAATGGAAAGCACTGGGCTCTTAAAGTCAGGTCAGATTTGTGCCTTCGGATGTGCTCATCACAGTCCACTTGGGGCTTTAAAAAGGCACACAGCACAGGGCTAATCATATTTCTGCACTTGCATTCTGCTGTTCTACAGCTGAAACACTGAATTCCCACAGGATGACTTTCTGGAAGCTGGAGAAATCAGGGTTTCCCCTATGGAGTCACCTTTAACTGGACACTTTCATTCTCCATCATCTACTGGAAGCAAACACTTGTTCATAAGCTAGAAACGTAGACACATTTCTGGTCAAGTTTCTTAAGACCTACTGCTCACAGCATTCCTTACATAAATACCTGCATTTCTGCATTTGCTCTGTTGTTCGACAAGCCCTGGGTTTTCATAATGGAACTTCCTTCAGCAGGTGCTCCTCAGATTCTCACCAAAGTCCACACAGAGGGTTCCCCCAGAGCACCACAGCTTCTAAAGCCCACGAACCAAAGGACCATGGGGGTCTGTGCCCTCTGGCTCCAGTGGTAGACGAAGGCCTAAGCTGCTGAAAGGAGTATGGGTTCCAAAGGATGTATATCAACTCTAACCCTGAACAGCTGAGGTTGGGGCATTTCAGAGTTCATTTATTGACCATATATGCAAATAAATATAGGAAACTACCTCTGTTGGCAAAAAAAAAAAGAGAGAGAAAGTACTATACAAACAAATGTAATGTAAATGCAAAATATGACGATGGTATAAATCTTGCATTACCTTTAAAGGAGCTTTGCTTTGGGAGGAAGGGGAAGAAGGGGCAGGACAGTTAGGTATGAGTTAGTTCTCTGCACAAGGTAGGACCAGCTTTGTGCAAATGCCGCATGTTCCTTTGCCCACAGGATCCAGGCCATCAGTGGTAGAGGAGAGGGGACAGCACTAAATCATTTTCCTCTATACTCAGCGTTAGTCTGAGCATCAGAAAGTGAGATTAGAAGGTTTGGCCTGTGTCCAGAGGACAAGGATCATAAGATCGAAAGGAGATGAAAGGAAAAAAAAAATGCTTCAGCTGGTTCACAGTAAAGCAAGAAGGCAAAGAATGTTACACAGAATTGTCCCGGTCAAGCTGCATTTGGTGTCAACCAGCTGCTCTCTCCTCAACTATTTTCAAATTTGCTTTAAGTAACAGTTACTCTTCTATCTTACTAACTCTCATGAGTTAGTGACATCCTGAGAATTATGATCCAACACCTTAGGACTATACAAATCTTACATTAACTATATCCATGTAACTGAAAAATGAACATAGGGAGACTTTCTGAGATTGTAGGTTATTGGGTTTAACCACTGGGAAAACCCAAAGGATGGATGGATCGTCTCACCAACACAAAGGAAGGTGGTGTTTAGCAGAGTACTGCCCTGAGATGGGAGGTCTGATCCTTTCTTGTGTTTGCTGTGGGCCTCTAGAGGTAGGCAGGACATGCTAGGGGAAGGAGCAAGTTGAACTGTGCCCAAACACAGCTGCTGGCAAGCCCCCAGGACGTGGCGTCCTCTGGACCACTGCCCTTGGGAGCGTGAGCCTGCATGCGGTGGTGCAGCCCCACCAGGGCAGGCAGGATGAGGCAAGAATGCGGGGCTTAGGGGGCAGGTTCTCACCCCAGCTCTGGCTCTAGGACGCTGAACAACCATGACACCTGACCTGATTTCTCTGTCCAAAGTTTCATCTATAAAATGAGATTAGATAGCTTTTCATCTCATGCCCAGTAAAAGTCAAATTCACTGAAACTGTCCACAAGGCCCCACCTAATCTAGCCCCTTACCTTCTCTCTGGCTCATCAATCCCCTCATCAGCTCCACTGCTCTTTCTGGAACACAGCAGGGGCCTTCCCTCCTCAGGGCCTTTGCATCTGCTAGCCCTCCGCCTGGAATGTTCTTCCCCAGGATACTCAAATGTCTGGCATACTCACATCCTTTACGAGAGTCTAAAATCACATTCTCAGGGAGGATGCACAAGTGCAAATCCTTCACAGATGCCCCACAATCCTTACCCCCCTTTCAGCTTAAAATTCTTTTTTTCTCCTTAGCATTTAATAGTATCCCACATATTATATATTTTACTTACTTATTGTTTATTGTCTGTCTCCCCCACTATAGTGTTGGTTCTCCAAGGGCAGGGATTTCTACCTGCTTTGTTTACTGCTGTATCCCCGGTACCTGGAAAAGTGCCTGATATATAACAGGAAGTCAGTTAAATTTTTCTGAATGGATGCATGCAATGGGTGGGTGAAAGGGAGGGCGGGAGGCGCTGGGCTCTGGCCAGTGTCCTCCAGCTGAGGTCTGTGGGCTGTGGTGTCTCCTCTTTGCCACCACTGTACCAGGATGGACTCTATAGCCACGCGAAACAGCAGGCCAGCCCAGGCCAGGCGTGGGATGCTTTCACTCCGCGGCAGAACTCAGGCGCTGCCTCCTGCGTGCTCCATGCCCTCAGACGCAGAGCCGTGTACACCCTGCCCTCTCAGCAAAACCACAACCTCCAAACACCGTCCGTGGGAAATTCTTTATACCGGGGCTCAGCTCCATTTTCCAGAGTCAAAATCAGTATCATCTGGGGGGAACAAAGTTACACCCATCTCCTTTTTCTAATTCTTCATTTAAAATCCCCGGGGAAAAGAAAAGCAAGCTTCCCTACTGCTAAGCCACCGCACTGCTAGTGATGCTCCTGTACGCTTCGGACGGTTCCACTAGAGGGCAGCACCATCAGGGCCTGCCGGCATCAAAGGGCGAGATTTGCCAACAAACAGCACAGAGAAGCCCGCACAGGCCTCTGTTTTCTCCCACAGGTACCCCCCGCTGCCTCTTCACTTTTAGCCTAGCTATTTTCAACAAATAACTTAGAATCTGCTCTCGAATGGTTCGAGCTTAGTCACTGAATGCATATGACTTGATCACTTGAATCAGAAGCTTTATGTATGTTTCTTCTTTCTGCCAAAATAGTTATTTATCCTCTCTTTGGAACTCTCCCCGAAACTCACTTCTTCCACAAAACCTTCCAGCCAAACCTGGTTCTGATTCCAGCTGCACATACGTCACGATAAACAGTCACAGGCACATAACCATTTTATGTGCCTACATACAAATACCAAGAAAGAAGACAGAGAATCCCATGCACACTCCTGGCCGCCTGGTCAGCAAATGTACATGTAACGTAAACGATGTGCAGGTGACCACCTTCCATACAACAGAAGTCACGGCTGTAGGAAATAGCACTGGCTGCCAAGGGTTCAATGTATGGGCCAAGAAACTAGATACACTAACACCCATTTATGTCTTTCAATTTCTAGTTCCTTCCTAGTATTCAATTTAAGCTCCCGAAAGTCTTTTGAACAGAAAAATTTTAGATAAACCTTAACAAAGGTTATGCAAAAACTTGAACAAAAATGTGTAAATACCAATATAACTTTAGGGCCTATTTAAGACACTTCCTTTATTTCAATCCTCAGAAACTTTTCCAATTTACCTTAAAGATAAAATTAAGTCTACTTGTAGAAAAGCATTAAGTATGGCTGAAAAAAAAAAAACCAAAGACATATTTTAAAAGTACAAAAGGTCACATACATAGGGTTAAATTGCTGATTGGCTGTTAGAGAAAATGGTAGCACCAATAGCCTCACAAGTACCTACAGAACAGAACAGATGTGAACACGCTTGTGTTTGCAGGTCACCACATGACATCACCACCACTACCAGACTGTTGGGAACCAGAGACGTCTTCAGGTAGTAAAGCCGTGGAAAATGTAAGGAGAAACTTTAAGGAAAAAGCTGTCCAATCTTCTTGGAGCCCCATTTCTGAAACATTTCAATCCTTCATTTGTTGACAAATGAAACTATTAACATGCAAACTTGAGATGCCATTTTTCCCATCCACAAACTCACATCTCCTCTGGCTTAACCCCGGCTCCCTACATCCAGAGTTCCAGCAAAAAAAAAAGGGCAGTGATTTATTGGACAAAACCACTATGAAGCCACAACCAAATGTTATGCCCTTGTAGACAACAACACCAGGTTACTTAGCCATCTGAATATCGCACCAGATCCCAACAGAAACATTATGTCCAAGCTCATCTAAAGGCAGTTTGAACTCACCTAGTTTCAGCATCGTCCCCCTGCACTCAGTCTGAAGGTCCGCTTCACAGCGTCCTGGCAGAGCCACTCACCCCGGAGGAACCCACACAATCGCCCTGTGGATATGTGTTCTCTGGCATCTGGATCGCCTTTATGAAGAGTCCATCCTTCCTGAGAATATTTCAAAAGAATGTACACTGTCCTTCAAAAACACCCACCATGAGCTTCCCAAAGAAATGCGCAGAAGACACTGGTCAACAGCAGTCACTTTAAAAGTTGTCTTGCTTGTTATTCTGGGAGCTGGGTTTCGTCACCTGTAGTGGAATGCATCGTGTAGCCTCTAATTGTGAATCCAGAGAGGTCTCAACATCCAGAATGGGGAGGGACTGGTCGCTGCCTGCACTTGCTCCCTATAAACCACGGCTACACAGAAACACAGGGATCACCTGTGATAGGCAAACAGGAGATATTTTCAAAATCAAGCAGAAACAGGAAGTCTAATGTTTCAACATGCTAGAAAAGAAAAGCGGATACTTTAAAAAGAAAAAAGAGGAGCTGGGGGAATAGCCCCAGTCATAGATGCCTGGAGAAAACAAAATAAAATTAAAAAATACCTCATTAAAAAAATACCTGGCCAGTATAAACATGAACATCTATTAATAGTAAGTACTGCTGAGGAGGTGTGCTGTTTCCCAAGAGAACTAGAGAACAGAGTCTGGACAGCACTGCTACTTAAAGTCATTAGTCTTTTGCTTTTGATGAGAACATAAGGTCTTTATAAAGAATGTACATGTGTGTGACTGTAATCCAGGCACACAGAATATACACATTCACTTCCATTCAGATATATGCACATACACTATCTAACAGTCTCTTTAGATGCTTACTTACTTCCCTGAGCGTTTGACCACAAATCACCACTCACACAACCTTCCCTTATCCATCCCCACCAGGCAAGATTCTACCAGTTCTGTAAGAAGGTCCACTTCAAGCGAACCACCTCTACGAAGCCTTTCCTGAGGACCCCAGTGCACTATGTAGGATCTCAGCCTCTTCTTTTAATATCCTTGGCACCTGTCTCGAGCTTCCTTGGTGACACTTTCTGGGTACCTATCTCAGTTGGTCCTTGTATTACCTTTGGAGGCATATCCATCTATCTTATCCCCAACTACACGATAAGTTCTTCTTCATTTTATTTTTACCCTCTGTAGCATTAACATTCTGCCTCGAGTCGGCCAGGTGCTCAGTGAAAAAGATATCAAGAGGAACACAATGGACACGTGCTTGCAGCCTGCCAGGCCTCCACTCTGCCAGCAGGACCACTTCATGGTCTTACAGACTTGCAAGTTACTTCACCTCTTAAGCAGTTTTGTTCTCTAACAAATGAGAATCACATCACTGACTTCACAGATTTGCTATCAAGATGTGAAGATAACCACGTGAAGCAAGTAACACATTGCCTGGTATACACAATTCGTGCTCAAACAGCAATGAGCATTATTGTGGACCTGGATTGAAATCAAAATTCTACGACTAATTCAGAGCAGGGGCTGAAAGAGATACCTAATCAGCATCAACTTATGAACATATTATATGTTTGTCATGTCTTATTTTCTTTAGCCTCTAATGTCATGTGACTAATTCATAACTGTTCGTAAAGTTTACACCTTAGAAACCACTCTTTTGCGTTCCATTGTGTCATCTCCTCAGAGTCTGGCCCCTTAGTGCTATGACAGTTTCATCAGGGACCAAAGGTCACAGCAGATGCCAAGAGAACACTCCTCCTGGAAGGGCAGGATTCTAAGTCATAAGGACTTCCCAGAGCCAGATTCACCGGTGATTCCAAGGGTAAGTTACAGAGTGTAAGGAGCAGAAGAAAACGCTCCATCTAAAGGAGGAACTGGTCTCTCACATTTCCTTAACATGTGGCCTCGGGGGTAGCTGCACGGGTAGCTGGCTACCAGAAGCCACTCTGCCCACTACTGCGGAGAGAAGGGGAGGGGCACGGGGCAGCTGTGGAAGGGTCATGCAGTTTCACAGAGAAAACACAGCCAGCGTGGCAGCAGAGCCCTCACACAAGCTCTGGGCATAGTCAGGGAGACACCAGTATGGTCCGGACACCAGGCAAGGGGGTGAGGGCTGTGAGCATTACTGCCTCCCATATCAACTGGGCACCCCCACCCCCCACAGGACCAGCTCCTGAGGCTGGACAGGGCTCTCCAACGGTGGGGGGATCAAAAGCAACACAATCTGCATGAGCTCTCATTCCAGCAGAGGGCCACTTCCCTACGACATCCCTCCCTCTTCTCTTAGGACCACAATGCCTAGGTCTCCCATGCTCAGATCTCGTCAAAATTTGCTGTTTCGAGCGGTCCTACCAGTTGACATGACATATTCTGCTCATCCTATGTCATTTGGGAAGAAAGAAAAGTCACAGACAGATGCTAAAGTTCAGGGGGATTTGTGGAGCAGGCAAAACTCACAGAAGAGCTGTGTGTAAAAAAATACCTGTCTCTTTTCTGTTGCCTTTGTAGATATGAATACAGCTCTCCTACACTATCCTAGGACTTGCAAATTAAGACATTCATGCTAGATTCAAGGGTCAACCTTTGGGATGGTGGCCCAGTGCAGTGCTCTAAGGAGCACCCAGGACTTCCAGCCCTAGAAACCCTGCCTGTTGGCCCAGTGACAGAGGAACCTGTCCAGAATCAGCTTTATTGAGGCAATTTGTGCTCAGGGATACGTGGAGCTGTCTTTCTCTGATGGGTACAGCTCTGCAGCTGAAGCAGGGGGCTGCTCAGCACCCCAACCCCCCAGATCCCCAATGCCGTTGATGGAGGTGCTCCAGAGCATCGTCATGTTGGTAAATAAGCCATCGTTAGGTGAGTCCAGTCCATCCTACCTGGTGAAACTTCTCCAGCTAGCTGCAACCACACGATGGTGGCTGGTAGAAAACCAATTCTCCTCTCTGGGGCACATGCACTCCACCTTATTTAGGCATCTCAGAGCAGGGCACTATCACTGAAATCATTTCACGGTCCCCACAACAAGGGAAACTGGGTGATGATCCTGATTTCAAAGAGAATGACAGAAGTTAACCAGCACATCCAGCTCGGCTCTGCAAGATGAACCATCACTGAGAGGAGAAGCCATGAGCACCAAGCCCTACCCTCTAAGACAGTCCAGAATACACTCATTCTCTGGTCTAGCTTCATTGACTGCTTAGGACATACCCCGAGAAAACGATTTCCTTTATGGCCGCCCATATCCTTATCAGCAATACATTTAGCAAAATCACCACCAGAATGAGGAAATACGTGGCTGCATGAAAAAGATACCTTTGTCTGCTTCCTTCATCTGGTGCCACAGCTGCAGCGACCATGTGCAAATGTCCACAAATCACCTTGACCTTCGTGCTTCGCGGCATTCCCAGGACACTCCCTGGTCCCCAGCATGATACCGTGGTTGCTAAGAGTAGTGTTGCTTTCTTTCTGTCCAAACCCCCCTCCCCATCAGTCCTCTCCTGCCCCCATCTTCTGCCTTCTTCCAACCACTTCAACTGTTTCGATGGCCTCCCTAAAACCATGGCTTCAACCAAAGCCGCCTCCTCGACTGGATTTGCTTCTCTTTGTCCCTCTGCTGTTCTTCGTGAAGGAGAGAGTCACTGGTGAAGTGGGGAAGAAAGCAGGTGAGGGGGGATTATTCCAGGAGACCTCGTGCCTGAGAAGCATTTACAGAAGAGACGGCGGAGGGTCTGACTCACCCTCTCTCACCTAAGGCGGCCTTGAGATGGCAGAAGGAAGAGTCCAGCTAGCTCATGCCTAGACAGGGTGGGGAAATCCCACTGGCTGAGGACCCACTAGATGCCAGGCAGCATGTATGATGCTCTCCCTGTGTTCATTCAGTCCTCACTGAAACCCTGGCAGGTGGGCACCATTATCCCCAAGTTACAGGTAAGTAGACTGAGCTCCATGCATTGAATGCACCTGCTCAGTGCAGTGCCTGGATATGGAGTCAGGTAGGTATTAACTCCAAATCTGTTGGCTTTCCCCATTCATATCGTATCACAAAAGTGTCCTTGGCTAAAAGAAAACCAGCCAACCTACCTTTCAAGGCCAGGCAGAACACTGAGTTAAACAGCAGGAATAGAAGCCCCTGCCCCACTGCTGGCAGCAGACAGGGCTGGGGAGGGGACTTCTCAAGTCTGTCTCTTGTCGGCTACCATCATGGCCTCCCCACAAATGGGCTGCACAAAATACAAGTGTGGGGAGGCAGACCTTTCCATGGTACATGTTTCTATGTGTTCAGCATAAATTTTAGAAAATGTTACTCAGAAGAAAAAAAAAAGACTGTTTTTCTCTTTTCTCCCTTAGAATCAATACTTCAGTGTTGGCAAGACATCTGATATCATCTAACCTCCTTTCACAAGCAAGGAAAATGAGGCGGCTCAAAGAGGTGGAAGGCATGCCGGGAAACCTCACCATTAGCTGCTCGGGGGAGAGCCAGGTCTAAGGACTCCAGAATGGGCAGTCACGTCTGTCTGCCTGCAATGCAGGCCCAACTCTCCCTTCACACTTGCACCACACATGAAAACACTAAATCAACATTTATGAAGCAAAGAAACACTGAGCACCTGCTGCTATAAATATGCTGGCACTTGAATGTGGCTTCTTTTCTGCTGAACAGAATATAACAGAGTCCTAACATTTTATAGCATTCTTCCAATGCAAACCTTCATGTGAAACACAATGTGATCCCTGGTAATAAAATATGTGACTAATTAAACTCTCAATTTGCCAAGAAAAACTCTCTAATTGCAGAGTCAATTTCTCTACAAATTTCTAAAATTTCTAATTAACATGCAACATATGATACTTCCCAAGTGGAATCCCTCATGCTCCCTCTCCACTGCCAAACCTGATTGCTATTCTCTCCGTTTCAAGCTCTCTGGATTCCATCACCACCCTGTCTCCTGGTCATCGCTGATTCCTCTCTTGTTTGGATGGTCACTGTGGATAAAATGAGAGTTCCTGTGGCCAGGATTCTCACCTGGCCCTGGTTGACTAGCTCACTGCACACCTGTGGGCAATACATGGCTGTTGACTCTATATCAAGAGTTCCGCCCAGTGCTCTGGGCACGACACGGTGGCAGGGCTGCAAGGCTGCAGGAG